GCAGTGGTCCCCAACCTCTTGGACCTCATGGACCACCAGTGGTCCGCAGATCATCGGTTGGTGACTGCTGCCCTAGAGAACCAAAGTTTGATCTTTTTTTTTGTAATGTGTGAGCGTGCATATCCAGAAGACAAGAGCTCTGGAGGTATTTCCTATATTTTTTAGCAATGTCCCTTTTATCTCTGTTCAGCGTTGTATTTATTTATTTTTTATTTTTGTAATGTCTTTTTAAAAAATATATTTTATTGATTTTTTTTAAAGAAAGAAAGAGAGAGGGACAGAGAGTTAGAAACATCGATGAGAGAGAAACATCGATTAGCTACCTCTTGCACACTCCCTACTGGGGATGTGCCAGCAATCAAGGTATCATGCCTTTGACCGGAATCGAACCTGGGACCTTTCAGTCCACAGGCCGACGCTCTATCCACTGAGCCAAACTGGTTTCGGCTCAGCGCTGTATTTAAGGGAGCACAGGACTTTACATATAATTAGGTTTCATCTCCACCTTGCTGGAAGGAGATATTGTTACACTTAAAATTATTATCAGATTGTTATTAATTGGTATGAATACAGGATCAGTAGCGATGTTATGATCCGTGATACCAACTTCATCTGTCCTACCCGAAGGAATATGATATGCAGATATGCAATGGAATTTCATTGGTCTGGAGGTGTATGAATAATGTGTGACAATCCAGCCCCTTCACTGAGCTGATACAACTGCAAGCATCAGTTATTCTCCAGACCTTTAAAGTTGCAAATGAGCAGTTTTGGTCCAGATGTTGACACCTTTCTATTTTTAAAAAAATATATATATTTTATTGATTTTTTACAAAGAGGAAGGGAGAGAGATCGAGAGCCAGAAACATCAATGAGAGAGAAACATCAACTAACTGCCCCTGCATACCCCGGCAACCAATGCACATGCCCCTGACAGGAATTGAACCTGGGACCCCTCAGTCTGCAGACTTACGCTCCATCCACTGAGCCAAACCAGTTTTGGATGGATGTTGACACCTTTTCAGCAGCCCTCTTCAGCTTGCCTGTCAACCAACTGCCAGCCTCCTCACTTAGTTCATTGGGTTTCAGAAAGAATCAATAAGAATGCTGTCTCGCCCTAGCTGGTTTTTCTCAATGGTCAGAGCATCAGCACTTGGACAGAAGGATAACTGGACGGATTCCCAGGTCAGGGCACATGCAGGAGACAACCAATGGATGTGTCTCTCTCATATTAATGTTTCTCTCCCACTTTCTCTGCTTCCTTCCTTCCTCTCTCTCTAAAAATAAATGGAAAAATCCTCAAGTGGGAATCTGAAGAAGAAGAAGAAGAAGAAGAAGAAGAAGAAGAAGAAGAAGAAGAAGAAGGTGGAGGAGGGGGAGGGGGAGGGGGAGGGGGAGGGGGAGGAGAAGAATGCTGCCTCTTGCATTGGCTGGATAGCTCAGCGGTTTAAGCACCATCCTGATATGCCAAGATTTTGGTTTGGTCCCCAGTCGTGGCACATATAAAAATCAACCAATGAATACATAAAAAAAGTGGAAGAACAAATCAATCAATGTTTCTCTCTCTCTCCTCTCTCTAAAATAAATCAACATTAAAAAACAAAAAAAAGAGAGAGAGAGAGAGAGAGAGAGAGAATGCTGCCTCATGAGGTTAAATCACAAGCTAAACTTCACCAACCTTTTGGAGTCTAAGAAAGCAAAAACCAAAGGGCAAGTGTTGGCATAACAAATTTTATGAATTGAAAGGAATTTGAAGAAGAGGAACCAAACATGGTAAAAATAAATAAATAAATAAATAAATAAATAAATAAATAATAAAATAAAAAGGGAGGAGAGAAAGCACTTAGTTTAAAAAAATTAAGGAAGCAAATTATGTTTTGCTTGGCCCTGTTAATTAGACGCCTGCCAAAAATGGTCTGCAAAGGTGCAGGAAACAGAAAGCATCTCGAGTGTTCTGCATTCGCCAGAAACATGGAAGGAATTTCCTACAGATGGTCAGGGTGGAACTATAGAAAAAAAGCCCTCATCAGGCCTTTGCTTGCTCATTCATTGCCAGGCAGGGTGCTAGGCATGGGAGATATAAAGTGAACATGGCATGGCCCTGGCCCTCAAAGCTTACCCTCTAGTCCAGAGAGATACAGCACCTATTCTGCACAGTGAAGTATTACAGTCACCAGGAAATAATATTCAAAGGACACAGTAAATGCACAAACGGGGAGAGGTCCATTGTGATTCTTATAAAAAAAAAAAAAAAAAGGGGGGAAGGATTGGGTGCTGCCTGGTGTTGCCCTGCGGTGGCTCAGCTAGGCTGCAGTGGCTCAGTCGGTTGAGCATTGACCTATGAACCAAGAGGTCATGGTTCGATTCCCAGTAAGGGTATATGCCTGGGTTGCAAGCTCAATCCTCAATGGTGCAGGAGCCAGCTGATCAATGATTCTCTCTCATCATTGATGTTTCTATCTCCCTCTTTCTCTTTGTAATAAATAAATATATATTTCTTAACAACAATAACAAAATAAAACAATTCATGGCAATCATGTGGGGCTGTTCAATGAGATGACAAACTTTCCCAGGAAAGGTGAAGTGGAATCTTGAAGAAACAATCAATTCATATTGATCCTAAGAAGGGAATTATCTCAGAAGTGCTCCCCATCTTTTTTACGAAGCAGAATTGCTGCCATACAATTTCTGCTCTTCCATATCCATTCTCCACCCCCCTATGCCACCTCAACCCTCCATCTCTACCCCTCTAACAGAGATACCCGGTGAGTGGGGCCCCATTGGAACTCCACTCAAAATCAAAAGTGGCCTTGAGCAACTCCCATCACTACTCGGGGCCTTGGTTTCCTCCCCGGTGAAGTGAGGATCCCTGGTCAACGCTCAAGTCCATTTCTGCTCCCAATTATGCGATTGAGACAAGAAACCAGAAAGGAAACTCCAGAGAAACAAAAGTGAAAGTGCCCAAAGGAAATACAAATGTACAAAATGTTATGTCCCACTGGGAAATACGTGGCAGAGTTCCCATTTTTCATCCCCAGCAACCCTGGACACAAAACTTGGGAAAGAAGGAAATGTCTATCACGCCCTCTGAATGTGACTAAGATCAGGGTAACACGAATCCACCTTGCTTCACGCAACTGCCTTAAACAATCCTCCCGACCGTTTGTGAGAGATCTCTTCCAAGTAAACCAGTCCTGGATGTATATACGGTCCGTTCCCATATAACATCCCCGCCCCCGTGGAACAACCACACAAGGGTGTCTCCCACTTTGGGAAGAGAAAGGCGGATAAAGAGGGAAGGATTAGATGCTGCCCGGCGTTGCCACGCGGCTGTCAGAAACAAAGCAAACTCTTTTAAAACTTGGGCAATACGTATCCTTTCTTTCCTTCGGTAACAGCGAGACTTCTCCGAATGCAACCCGTAGCGGTACCCTGAGCTCGGGAGCAACAGCGCGAGCTCTGGGATGGACCGGCCAGGGGAGGCGGCCAAGAGGGGCTACGCTGACAGCTGCGCCGAGTCTGCGGCGCGTGTGAGCCCGGGGCGGGCGCCTGCCGAGCCTGGAGGGTGCGATCTGGACCCACCGGGGGTCCCCGGGCTCCCTGGGCTGGAGGATGCCCCCGGTCCGCCGCGGAGCCTCCTTTCGCCGAGCGGAGGAGGGCCGGGCGCACACGCGTGCGCACGTACACACACACACACACACACACACACACACACACACACACGCACACCCTTCCCCGGGAGTTGTGTCTGGTCTCCCTTTTGTTTTCCTCCCTCCTCGGTCATGAGACCCGGAAGTTTGTGTGTTTTTGAATCCCGTCTCTCTCCCCCCCCCCTCCCCTACACCCCCCCAATCTATCACACGCCAGAGATAGAATAAAAACAGAAAAATGGCGACGGTCACGTTGTGGCGAGCCTTCCTGCGTCATTAGATAATCCTCATGCAAATAGCGGGGAGAACAAAGGAAGGGGGGCCCGAGACCCCGGGGGCGCAGGTGGGGGTGGGGGCGGGGGCGGCGGGGGCGGCAGGCGCCGGCGGGGGCCCGGCCGGGTGCCCGGCGGGAGGCCGGCGGGAGGCAGGCGCGTGGCTGCCGGGCTCCGCGCCGCCGGGTGTCCGGGTCCGTGCGCGCGGCCTGCGCCGCCGCGGAGCGTGGGCTGCGGGCGCCGGAGCGCGGCCGGGGGCGTGGCGGGCGCGGGGGGCGCGGAGCGGCACCGGGGAGGCCGGCGCGGCGCGCGCACACGCACCCACCCCGCGGGGCTCGGCAGCGGCTCGGCGCCCGCGCGGGGGGCGGGCCGAGGGCAGGCCCGGCGGTGGCGAGGGCCGCGGGGTAGCAGCCGCTGCCCTGCGCCCGCAGCCTCCCGCCGCCACCTGGGGCCCCGCGCGCACCTCGGCACCTCCGGGTAGGCGCGGGGCGGGCCCGGGGCTCCGCGCTCGGGCGCGGACTTGGCGCGTGTTGCGGGGCTGGGTTTGTTGTTGTTGGGGTATGGTTTTCTTCCTTCCTGCGGGTTGGGGGAGACTGGGGGGGCGGCGGGGGAGGAAAGGGGGGGGGCGACTTCGCCCACGGGCATTTCCGCGGTTCCCCTCGGCCCTGGCTGGGACGCGGGGCACCGCGCGGAGCGGAGGGGACGAGGGTGCGGGCGGCCCCCCGGCGCCCGGCCCCCGGGGGAGCGGCGGGAGCGGCGGGGCGGGGTGTGTGTCAATGTTGCGCACTCGCTTTTCCTCTGCCCCCGCCTCCTGCCAGGGTGCTGGCGTGGGTCCCTCGCGGGCCGGCGGCGGCGACTGTAAATAGAGCCTGGATGTTGTTTACATGAAGGATCCGGCGGGAGGAGCCTGCGGGGAGGCGGCGGAGGAGCTGAAGGAGCAGGAGGAGGAGGTGGAGGAGGAGGAGGAGGAGGAGGAGGGAGCGAGCGGAGAGGAAGAGCGGAGTCCCCGCCGCGGCGGCGGGCCAGGCTGAGGGGTCCGGGCACGGGCGCTGCCACCACGAGGCGGAGACGTCTGAGACGCGGACCCCGGGGTACGAGAGAGGATGGGCGCGGAGGGAGCGGAGCGATGGGGTCTGGCATCATGGCATGTGTCGCTTGCAACCTGCCACGCAGCTTCTCGGGCCTCGGAGGGAAGAGGGTGTGTGTAGGGAGGGCGGGGAAGCCTCAATTTCTCTGCGCCTTCGTTCTCCCATCGCTGGTCTTTTCCCGCTTTCTTCGGGTTCACCTGTTTGTTTTCATCCGCCAGAGCTTGCAGTTTTGTTTTTGTTTTTGTTTTACTACATAGTCTTGAGAAGCCCTTTCTTTTATTAGAGGCATTGGGGATGGGGGTGAATTGCTGTAATTTATGCCGGTCCAGGTCGGTTTTCAAGAAGGGGGAGGGGACTTGGCGGACACCGCTTGCTCCTGGCCTGAGCTGACCCCAGGCTGCTCCCCGCCTTCCCGGGCCAAGGAATCCTTTCCCTCACTCCGCTGCCTGCTCGCCAGAAGCCACCTTCTTGGAGAAGGACCACACCTGTGCTTATTCCCGCTCTGGAGGCGAGGTGAGCCAAGAAACCAAGAAATCCTGTGTTCCCCCAGAGCTGTTAGCCAGCCCCGCATGCATCCCGGAACTGGCCAGAAAGTGCTGCTCTTTCACCTGCCGGTTGCCTTGGGCACACATCCATCCCCTGCCTGGCAAGTAGTGGTCTACAGATATGTGTTGGGATTTTCTTTTTCCTCTGGACCTGCACCCCTAACCAAGGAGCAACTAACAACTGCGTTTAGATTGCGAGACAGAGGTCTCCCCCCGCCACCCACCCCTCTTGGCCCGGTGCTGTTATTTATTCCCAACCGGGTCTTGTAATGGAATCCTCAGCTGTCTCCTTCCAGTCAGTCCCCGTCACGCTTCCCCTGAGAGCATAACCCAGAGTCAGGCCTGAGCAGTCTCTCTGGCTCTCTTTCCCTGGGCCCCACCCCGGCCCCTCTTCCTTTTCCAGAGCCAAACAGGCCTCCCAAAGCAGAAGGCACACCCAGCCCCAGTTCCAACCACACAAAAGGGAGAAAACCGTGGAAGGGAAGAGACCCAAAGGTGTCCTTTCTGTCCTGAATATCCCCCACGGTGCTTCCCTCTTCAAGTTTCCGAGGTTTATCACCCCTTTATTCTCCGAGGTGCCTCCCCCTACCCTCCGCCCCTAGCACTGTGATAGATATTTGGGGAGGTCGGGATGGTGGGTGGAGAAAGAGGTGGTCACCCTTGTATTCCCCAGTTCCAGACAGTTTCCTTCTCCCAGTCTTGTCATTACTGAGATGCTTAGAGAGTGTGATATGTAAATATGCCTTCGAGCCTAATTGAACTTCTGTTGTTGCTGGCTAAGGAATAGCTGGGGCTCCAAAGGGCGGGAGGGGAAAGGGTTGAGGAGTGAAAGTTCCCCCCTAGTTTCCACCCGCAGAGCATCCCTGGCGTCGCCGGAAAGGAAGGACCCTTCGGTAAACGCCAGCGGTCTCCCTTCCGTGACATCACACCTAAGCCCTTCCAACTTCAGCCTCGGAACAGGAAAAAGGCTCAAAATAGAACCACCTTAGGAATCCGGCTCCTTTAGAAAATCAGCTTTTAAATCAGCTGCTGCCGGGGAACACAACTTGGACAGGGGGAGAGAACGCTGTAGTGTTTGTAATTGGTTCCTTTGGGTAAGGGTGGGGGCATATATATATTCAGAAAAGCTTTCCTCAAGACAACTTAAGGTACCTAGACCAATGAATGATTAATAGGATGGTTCGAGATTTATTTATTGAATTATGCATGTTTCCTTGTGTCAACAACTAGCATTGTTAAGATGAAGTAGAGGGGCTCCCGGAGTGTGGGCTGGAGAGGTTGCTAGAGATAAAAGCAGGTTGTGGGGCGAGGTAGACTAGGAAGGAGCACCTGAGGAAGGCGAAGAACCCATGGGTGCAGTGACAGCTCCTGTGGGTATGGAAGTCCAGAAGCTCAGTGTAAACAATGGCCATGACTTTGAAGGGTGACTAACCTCCTGGACAGAGCAGTGACAGTGTCAGTCAGGATCTTCCACATTTGCCTCCAAAACGAGCTCCTTTGAATATCTTTGAATCTCAGTGTCTCCATTCATTCTCTGAATTGGGATGTGCCTTTCTTTCTGAGCTGAAAGAGTTGTTCAGTCTTGGTAAGAGCCACTTAATGAATGGCCATCCCTGAAATATTGACCACTTCAGTAAGGGTTAGTAGAGGGGCAGAAACTACGTGGCATCATGGGAGCACCTAATTGGTGATGGAGAGGGAGTTGCTGTTGAATGGGGTAACTTCTCTTCATCTGGTTCAGGTTCAAAAGGAGCCAGGTAGCAGAGACAGGGTTGGTAGCAGAGACAGGCCAGGTAGCAGAGACAGTAATGCAGTTACCACTTAGGTGGCTGTCAAGCACCTGAAAGATGGCCAATGTATCATTTCTTAAAATAGATATTTGATTCCATTATTGGAAAATTTAAACACATTTGGAAACAATTTGGGCGCATGCATGTACTTTTTAAACTGTAAATCTTACACAGTCCAAATAAGTATTTCTGATGAAACTTAGTGTTCCGATTGAGAAGCATTATAAGCATAAAATATGCTCCGTATTTCAAAGATTTGTATAAAAAAAGGAAGTGAAATATCTCATGAATAATTTTAAATTGTTTACATGTTCAAAGGATAATATTTTGGATATACTGAGTTCAAATATTACAGTTAATGTCACCTGTTTATTTTTTTAATGTGGCGATTAAAATATTTTAAATTATATATACTATTAGGAATTACATTTTCTTCTGTCGGATGGTGTGGGCTATAGCGTCACTCCTTTTGGTTCATGGATTGACTACAAAAGAAGTGAATGCATGACAGTTACTGCATGTTTATCAGTCATCTCCTTTCCCCTGTCTTTTTCCTCTGAAGATTTGGGAACCCCCAAGAATTGTTGTTACAGTACATGCCACCTCCTAGTGACTGCTTTGCAGGTTGCTAGTCAGGATGTGTGCTCTCATCAAGAAGGTCAGTAAAACGTGCAGGGTACGAGAAGGGTGAGCGGAGGCAGCATGGGAAAATTTAGGCTCCCACACAGCTGGCTATCGCTGCTTTTATAAAAGACTCCTAAGGATGCCAGAATATATCCCAGAACAGTGTGAAGCACAGAAACAAGGTGGCATCTTAGTGATTCCACTTACCACTCACTCACCTTTCTTTAATTTCTCTTCCTCCTTCATTTACTTTCTTTCCCCAACCACCATCAGCGTGCCATTGGTGCTAATTGTGCCCAGAAAGTTGTTAACCCCTCCCCCCCCCCCCAAAAAAAAGTACCATGCTGATTTGAATAGAGAGAATGCTATATTGGGGGTTTGGTTTTGTCTCATGAAATCAGTATTGGTACTGGGAGGGGCTCACAGGACATTTAGTACTACCCCTTAATTTTATCGTTGACAAACTGTCACGTACTTGTCCAAGACCATACCTACAGAGGTTGGAATTAAATTCACACTTTTGTTGGGAACCTGTTTAGAGAATCCCTGGGAAATAAAGGGGTTCATCAATGAATCGCCTGTTTGTTGAGTTTGCACTTTGTGGAAAGGACTGTGACTAGTGCTGTGAGGGACATGAAAGCAGTCCCTGACTTTAGGAACAGTCCTGTTGACTTGAGTAAATATGAAGTGAACAGTGCCAAATTAAGCAGCAGGATACGATAGAACACTTAATAATGAGTGCAGCCCCAGTGTGCCATAGGTTGCAAGTAGAAATGTGTTCATTTCACAGATTTAGGAATAGAAGCTCTGAGGACGGTAAACTCTGCAGAAAAGAGTACGGTTTTGTTTCTGAAACAGCCCGCGGCTCTAGAATCGGAGGTCAGCGCAAGGCTTTGGTATTGCCCCCGTTAGCTATCTATTAAGGGAATTTGAGAATCTCAGACCCAGCATTTTTAAATGGCATGGCTGCAGTAATGAGGAGATCATGGGTTAATTGGAGACCGTCAGGGTTTTTAGAGATGGTTAACTAGGGGTGTGTCATTTTGACTAGTTATTCTAAAAGGGTAGAATGCTGAGTTGAAATTATAGTAAAGCTGACTTGGGAGCAGACTATAAAATCCAATCTCGGGGGGAGGGGCGGGGAGAGAATGGAATTTAGAGCAAAAGCAGAAAGTAAAATAATTGTGGAATAGACAGAGTAAAAGTATGTATGCTGAGTGAACGTATAAGGGGTAAAGGACTCTGTAACAGAATTTATGGGCCGGTCCACTTACGTCTCCTAGAATCTTTTTGGACTAAAACCCCGGTCACCATAAGCAAGCAGGCACATTCCTCTTTCTGTCTGTGTATTGTTGTGTGTATACTTATCTCTCATAAGTTTTTTCCCTCTAGATGGGCCAGCATGCTAAGGGGACCATTTAGCAGTCAGTGCTCTAAGTGGGTAACAGTGACGCCCCCAGTGAGTGCTTCTCTGTGATCATCAGGGCAGACGGTGCGCAGGCAGTGGCCCTTAGCTTTTTCTTGCCTTTTCAGCCAATTTCTTTCTCCTTTAAAAAGTTTCCGACCAAACTTTAGCACAAGTTTTTAAACACTCCTATTATAGCAAAGCTTTGCAATAAAATGCTAATATACATTCTTTGTGCTTCTGACAAAGCAGTAGTTGAAATTTGAGCATTTTTTGTTGTTGACAGTACATTTTTATAATATCAGTTTAATCAAATTTGCACATATTATAATGTCACTGAGTTGGCTTATGGTTTTCACATGGGGGGTGGGGTGGGGAGAGAATCACACCTCAGTAAAAGACTGGTGGATTTAAATTAACCTATTTAAACTATTTCTTGTTTAAAAGTATTTTCAAATATTTTGTATTGCCAGCAGCTTATTATTACCTCTATTTATTTAATATATAATCAGATGCTTAAAGGTTCAAAATAATTGTATTTTCATTTTCTGTTCAAAGATAAGAGGGACATGGCATGGTTTTTGTGTGTGCCTTTGTACTACACGAGATTTAAAAGCAAGTTCTTTATATACTAGTTTCTCAGAAGTACTCAGTTTTTAGAATCTAGATAATAATATTTGGTGCATGCAGCATGAAGAAATTATTCTCAGTTGTATCATAGAACTTAATTTAAAAACAATTTCCTCTCTGGAGGAAAGCATTTTACATCACTGTCGCCTTTTCCCTCTCTTACTGTGCAAATACGCTTTTCATGCTGTGGCATGAGCACCTGGATTCACTTGTTTTAAAATCGGAACAATTTTATATTTGTAAGAAAATTTTATGGAAAAAGAAATGTTTCTGATGGATTTGGTTTTTAAAAAATACACACTTATAAGGAATAAGTTCCAAGGAGAAACAACACTTATATTTGTGAAGCATTTATTACTATTTAAAAAATATAATGATGAAAACCCTTGCTTTTCTTGAAACTGCTTTAGAATTTTTCTGAGAGAATATTAATTTCAGTAACTTCACAGAATAACAATTTGCTTTTTATTACTTGGTCTCTTGTTTTTTTAACCCCCAATTTAGATAGAAAAAAAATGGAAATGAGAGAAAAATAAGGAAATACCCTTTACTTACTGTACCAAAAATGTTTAGTTATCTGGCTTTTGGTCTTGGCTAATACGGTGATTTTCAACTTCATAGTGCATTACAAACATTAAGTTCATCTCTGTATATTTCATCCTTATTTTTTAAAATATATTTTTATTGATTTCAGAGAGGAAGGGAGAGGGAGAGAGAGATAGAAACATCAGTGATGAGAGAGACTCATTGATTGGTTACCTTTTGCACACCCCCTAGTGGGGATTCAGCCCCAAATCCCAGACTGTGTCCTGACTGGGAATCGAACCCAGGACCTCTTAGTCCATGGAACAATGCTCAATTCACTGAGCCACCACAGCCCAGCAGTCTATAGTTCATATTTTGACACTCAGTTGCACTAGTATTCAATCATAGTAAAGGACAGTCTAATAACTAATAAGTACATCAAGATTATTTATTTGTTTCCATACTTACCCTCCCTGGAGTACCTCAGAGTGAGTATTTATCTTTTCCAAATCAGAACTTGTGGCCAGAGGTGTTTAGGCAGTAATCTCTTTATCCTTTTTGATGGATTAGCTATCTTACATTGTATTCTCAAATAATCACAATATCTTTGTTCATTTAACAGATGTTTATAATTTGGGTGAATATGTGCAGCTATTTCCAGGAATCTTAGGTTATGGGATCCAACTTTTTCTTTAAAAAAAAAATCTTCATTGCCCTCTCGTGTTTCAACTTTGTATTACATCAGTTGGCTAAGACCTAGGCAATGGCCTCTTTAACTTTTAGATATTTTTGCACGTTAGAGAATGTTGTTTTAATTTGTGTGTAGGTGGATTATTTCATTGGATATGACTTTCTGACGATACGGCCAGTTTCATAGTACATAAAGTTAATAATAATTGAGCTAAAAAATCGTTGAACTCTATTTTTTTGACTCCTGCTGATAAAAAGAATTTATTCTTCTGACTTATATGAAATACAGTGCTAAGATCTAGTTTGCATATAATGAGTCTTTGAAACTGAGCAAATGCCTAATTGAAAACACAATTATTTTGCAAATATCTATCAAGTGCCACCTATATTGAAGTAACTTGAGAACTTACGACCAATATGGAAAAAAGCCAAGTGAATCATGGTTTTCATAAGTTGGTATTCTAAAGCCTAAATTCCAATTTCAGATTTTTTTTTGTACTTTTTTATTTAAAAAGTACATCTCTGAAATGACTTCAGGGTATACTTCTCAAGGTACAGATAATTTCAAAGCATTTGTTGATTTTTAAAAAAAGGCATTCTAAAGTTTGTTAATGATTCTCACCATAATCATGGGATTGACATTAACTAGTGTGAAAACCACCCCACAGGTGTGCTAAATACATAATCACCACTGTCATCAATTTGAGTACATTCTTAGCACTCAGAACAAAAACAATGTCTTTTTTTTTTTTTTACTAATGTACATTTCTTCTTAAACATAAAGCTCCCATTAGTTTCTGCTTTGTGATCTGAGATACTGAGAAAAGTAAGAATCGTAAGCAAAAAGTATATGTTTTCAGAAATCCTTTTGTTTGTGTAAATTGTGTAATCTGAATATTTACTTGATGGAGTTGGATGGCCAGATTGAGGTAGAGAAAAAAAAGCACTGGGCTCAGTCATCAGACATGGTTTGAGCCTGGGTTCACCATAATCTCAAATAACTCACTTAACCTCTCTTAGGTTTTTATTTTCTATCTGTGAAATGGACTCCAGAATCCTTTTTTGATGAATGAATGAAGAATTCATTGACAACCCTGTAAGGTTCTTATAGAAAACCAAATAAGAAAGTGCATAGAAAATTCTTGAATGTCAGGCAGAAGTGAAGTATTATTGCTGTTTGATAGGGAACACTCGGAGAACAGGGACCATGTTTTACATATCTTAGTTTCTTCAGCATCTAGAAGAGGTCTTACAACATTGTAGTTCCTCAATAGCCCAATCTGCATGGCTCAGTGGTTGAGCGTTGACCTATGAACCAGAGATCACAGTTCAATTCCAGGTCAGGGCACAGGCCTGGTTTGTGGGCTCAATCCCCAGTGTGGAACATGCAGAAGGCAGTAGATCAATGATTCTCCTTCTCCCTTTCTCTCTGAAATCAATAAAAATATATTTAAAATAAGTAAATAAAAATAAATAAATATCTATTTCACCAGTGATTGAATCCAAACGATAGTGTCAGTGAATCTATGCATGGAAGAAATACACCATGAAACATAGATGGAAAGCTCACTGCCTAAACATGTTTGCTCATCCTCATTAATATGTATAAGTCATGTGTTTGTCTTTCATTCTATTGTAATTCAGCTGTGCCTCTTCCTATTTCAGCATCATCATGCTCTGGGCGATGACCCCACTTTTCCTTCTGCTTCTCCACATATCGAACCAGAAGGGGATCGTTCAGTCTTTCACTTCATGGGGAGCCTTCTGAGGGAGTCATACGGTTCAACCAGAAAGGACATCACCAGCCCGCACAGAGACTGACAGGCTGCCCTGGCTCAGTTATCACAGTGCTGATGCTGTCCATTCTAAAGGTACAGTACTGTGATAACTGAAGGATGGCAGCCAACTTGCCTTCCATCAGAGGATCGAGTCCCAGCGTGCCAGAAGGAAGATGGTTGAAAGAGGCATGTGGAATGGGTGCGGGAACCCCAGAACCCTCCTACACTGTTCCTCCACTGTACCTTCTCTTGCAGGGAGAGAATATTGTTCTGTCTGTCTTTGCCTTGTTTTGCAACATAGGGACAAAGGGAGTTGGGTGGCTGTTTGCACAGCAGCATGAAGACTTGTACCGAATGGACATAGAGTAAGATCTTTGACATTTTTAAGAGACTGGTATTTTGGACATTTATGAAGATCTTTGAAACTTGTCGGAGACTGGTATTAGATAAGTACTGAGTGTAAATTAATATTTTTGGAATGATTGTGCCATTTTTAGAAATGTAAATGGTGATCTAACTAGAGTAGCTTGGCACTTGTCAATATTAGATGTTCAGAGTGAAATTCAACTGAAAAGAAGAGAGAGAGAAAGCCCTACATATTGAACAGCATTGTTATAATTCAGAGATTTTTAACCCCTTTCATCTCATGGCACATAAACTAATTACTAAAATTCTGCAGCACACCAAAAAATGTTTTATTTTTTGCCGATCTAACAAAAAAATAGGTTTAGTTTTGATTCTCATCAGATGGCTATTGTGTTGGCTGTTGTCATTTTATATTTGACAGCCTATGGAAAAAGAGGTCAGATATTGGCCGAAACCGGTTTGGCTCAGTGGTAGAGCGTCGGTCTGCGGACTGAAAGGTCCCGGGTTCGATTCCGGTCAAGAGCATATACATTGGTTGTGGGCACATCCCCGGTAGGGGGTGTGCAGGAGGCAGCTGGTCGATGTTTCTCTCTCATCGACGTTTCTAGCTCTCTATCCCTCTCTCCTCCTCTCTGTAAAAAATCAATAAAATATATTTTTAAAAATAAATAAATAAATAAAGAGGTCAGGTATTGCATGCTTTAAAAATTCTTGTGACATGCCAGTTGAAAATTACTGATATAATTGCATGAATAAAATTACATCTTTTGTTGAAGGAATGGATAGGGGCATAGCATTTTGTTTTTCAAGAGCATGAATATTTAAAATGGAATATAATTTTAAAAATGTTTGTTGAATGCCCATGTTATTGCTGATGGCATCACCTTCACATGAAAATAAAATGGAAATTATTTTTATCAACTAGTGAAGGACCACCCTGCAGTGTCATCTAGAACAAATCAGTTTTACAGATACGAAGCTATAAATACCAAACCCATGGAAGGTTTACATAAAAGACTAGGAAATGTTACAGAGCACACATTTTCAACTTGCTTCCTACTTGAGAGAGTGTTGTTGGGGTGGGGTTCTTAAGCCAGGGTTTCCCGCCTTCTCCCTCAAGACTCCTAAGGAAGCTGTACCCATGGAATAGCAGCAGATGAGAATAAAAGTGCACAACTTCATCATATGTTATATTGCAGTCAGCAGTGAGGCTCAGGCAGTTTAGGCTCATTGCCTAAACAGGATCTCTTTATATATATATATATTATTGATATTTTACCGAGAGGAAGGGAGAGGGATAGAGAGCTAGAAACGTCGATGAGAGAGAAACATCGGCCAGCTGCCTTGTGCACATCCCCTCCAGGGATGCGCCCGCAACCAAGGTATATGCCTTCTACTGTAATCGAACCCGGGACCCTTCAGTTCACAGGCCAACGCTCTATCCACTGAGCCAAACAGGTTTTGGCTAAACAGGACCTCTTACCTTTTCCCAGGTACATGACTGTATTTGAGAACCTTACCACTGGACGGCTGACTGGTGAGCAACCTAAAGCAGTGACGTTATGCTTGGGCAAAGCGAGAATAAGGGCAGGCCCTACTAGGGTGAGCAGCCAGGGTGAAGGAAAGCAGTATGTGTGACGTTTTAACATACAAGAATCCTGGTACCCACTAACCAGCACAGCCCAGTCACTGTCTTAGACTTGGGCCATTGGTTTTATAAAGCCCTTCCCTGGAACAAAGTACAGGATAAGGGAACAGGAAGCAAGTGGCAAGATAAAGCCATGCCTCCCCGTCCAGAGAGGCTCAGTCCTCAGACATTCCTGGTCATTGCTCCTTCGCTGGTTCACACAATTCTCTTCAATCTCTTTCCCCATCTCCACCCGAAGAAGTAACCCCTTGAACTACACCTTGGCCCTGAATTGTTATTTTTCTCATGCCATTGGCCACATTATGGATAGTACCTTCACGTGTCTTCATATATTTAGAATTTCTCTAATCTGTAGGCCAGACTATGTTTTTGATTAATTGTAGGGAATGATGGCTCTGACCATTTGTGTATTAAACCACCAGCCCTGCTCCCTTAAACAGAGAAGGAATTTCTGACAGAAACCCTGGAAGAACTTCTAAGAAAGGAAAATTCTGGATTGGTGAATTCTCAAGTAATGGGAAACTCTTTCAACTTTTAGTAGTATAGCAGGTGGAAAAAGAGCTTAGGGAGTGCAATCATTGGCCTTGGTGAGGATTTCACCACCTTCCCCAATCGTCCTGTTTTCCCATTACTAGTTCCATAAAAATTTAGGTTTTATATTTACCTGACCTTGATTCCAGGGTCCACACCTGTGTCTCTGGGATGTTGCAGAGGTGAGTTTTGTGTACAGTTTGAAATCACTGCTGCATTTCTACAGACGGAACTATGCTGGGTCCCGCTTCCTGTCCACAGAAGCCCAAGGCTCAGTCTGCTGCAGGAGCTCCCGGAGGCTTGCCTGGGCCTGGAGGTCCTTGGCCTCTTCAACACAGTTCACAGATGTGAGGTGTTAGAAACCTGATGGGGTTTTCCACTGCTTGGATTGATAAAACACACACAGTGCTTTGATTGGCATATTCATCACGAAGTTTGGTTTAGGTATGTGAAATGGGAAGAATGGAATGAAACAAATATCATATGATCCAGCAACTCCACTTCTGGTTATATATCCAAATGAAGGCTCTGAAACGTAATTATACACCAGTGCTCACAGCAGCATTCACATGTCAAAAAATAGAAGCTATCCAAATGCCCATTGATGGATGAATGGGTAAACAAAATGCAATTGCATACAACAGAATATTCCAAAAAAAAGAAGAAAATTCAATGCTGCAACACGGATGTCATGCATTCATAGATCTAGAAAATGGAATGGTAGTTGCTCAGGGCTGGAGGAAAGGGGGGAAGGAAAGTTCGTGTTTAATAGGTACAATTATTGGGAAAGAGGAAAATATTCTAGTGATAAGTGGTATTGGGTTCTCAGCAATGTGAATGTACTCAATGGCACAGAATTGTGCACTTTAAAATGGTTAAAATAGTAAATTGTATGCATATTTTACCACTAAAAAAAGGCATTTCAGGGGTCATAGCACTGTTACAACCAACAACAGGATTGAATTGATAGCTCTCTTAGTCTTCATGGTGAAGATTAATTGCTATTTTATGTAAGCAATTAAAATGTAACTTCCAAGTCTTTAACATTTAATGTCTAATTTCTGGACTTTTAAAGGTATTTCCAGAGTTTCTGACACAGCAGAGCTTTAAAGTTTTGTTAAACACAAAGAAAACCAACTGTAACTGTGAAAAGGCCTCAACTGGAAGTCAAATGATGGAGCATCCCTTGATGGTTTTATGACTTTTCTTGTGAAAAGGCCTCTTCATGCTCCACCACTTTGGAGTTGTGGTGAAGATGAATAGATAAATATACACATACACATGTGTATGTATGTGACCATTTTGATCACTAAAGCAGCATTTGAATGTGGCATATTATTCTCAGAATGTAGAAATGCACTGAAACAAAAATAGCAGTATTTTTAAATTGAAGTTTTAAGAAAACATTCTAATAACTCAAGTGTTATCAGCTTCGTTAAAAAGAGCTTGCTCTGGATCATGAATTATTTTTTTCTATTTGTTATTGTATGTTTAAATTGAAAATAAAAGACATTAAAAGCATATGGACTAGCCCCAGTTGGTTTGACTCAGTGGATAGAGTGTCCGCCTGTGGACTGAAGGGTCCCGGGTTCGATTCCGATCCCCAGTGGGGACATACAGGAGGCAGCCAATCAATGATTCCCTCATCGGTGTTTCTCCCAACCTCTCTGACATCAATTAAAAAAAAAAAAAAAGCATATGGACTAAAACTGGACAGCAATAACCTTCTCTAAGGGCTCACATGCTTTGTTAGCCATGGGTAAAAGTATTCATTGGTGGCCCTGTCTACTTCATCACAAAGCTCTTAGTTGGGGCCATCCTTTAGAAATCAGATTTAGTTGTAGAAATTGCCCTATCAGATTTTATGCGTAATCTACCTTGATCATACCACACAGTTGGAGCTGAGACTAAGCTTTATCCATGCCACACCAATTTCAAATATGTTCCTATGCTTAGTACATTTTTAGCTTCCCTGAAAAATCAGCCCATTATAAATGTGCCATCAACTTGCCTATACCCTTCTTAAACTGATTTATTTTTTGAAATTGATTGTTCCTGTGATTTACACGGGACTTATTCCCCTTAAAATTGCTTTCTTAAAACTGCATTCATATTTACATGATATATCCTCATCTAACATAGTTCATTCTCATCATTACCAGTTAATATTTCACCATATGCATTCTTTTAAAAATACATTTTTTTTTTTTACTGATTTCAGGGAGGAAGGGAGAGAGAAGCATCAATGGTGAGAGATCATTGATCAGTGGCCTCCTGCACACCCACACTGGGGATCAAGACCACAACTCGGGCGTGTGCCCTGACTAGAAATTGAAACATTACCTCCTGGTTCACAGGTTGACGCTCAACCACTGAGCCATGTGGTCAGGCACCACATGAATTCTTCATTAAGTATGAGCAAGAATAAGGAAGGCACCAAAAAGCCACTTTGTATTTTTCTTCCATATCCACACGATGATTGTGAAGATTCTCAATGGAAGAGAAGGCCAAGTATAAGAGTATGTCTGCAACAGTCTCAGCTGGGGTACTTTATTTTTTAATATATATAAAATATATATTCATTGATTTCAGAGAGGAAGAGAGAGGGACAGAGAAACATCAATGATGAGAGAGAATCATTGATCAGCTGCCTCCCCACACAGGATTGAGCATGCAACCTGGGCTCGTGCCCTAACCAGGAATCAGACTGCAACCTTTTGGTTCATAGCTCTACTTCTACACTCAGCCACAGAGTCATGCCGGCAGAGCTCAACCGCGGTACTTCATATGTAAATTGTTTGAAAGGGTTTTGGGTTGTTATACTTTCCTCTAGTAAAATACATGCTAAAACAATTTACATAATTGAAATGGAGTAAAGTAAGATGATTACATCTTGCTTTATACATTTGGATTATTATTCTACTTTTATTTTCCATGCAATTGTGAAGAGATGGGTAGTGAAGTTAAAAAGTAGGAAGACGTAGAAAACAGTCCCAAATTACTACCTTTGTAAATGAAGTTCCAGACACATTATTTAGGTTCTCATTGCTTGTTTTTGGTTGGTTTCTTTTTCCACTTTGAAAATGAATGCCTTTGGAGTAGGAATGCCTCCGGGTCAGTTGGGGTAGTACATAGAGCACTTGGCTGAGAAGACTCTGAGGCCACATCTGGGTTCCACGGAAAGGAATGCTGTGACCACCGTCATGTCTACTTGCTACCAATTATCGGTGTCTGTTGTAGGCATCAGATTGAGAAGCAGTGGTGCATTATCTGATCCTCTTCTAGAATATAGTATTTTTAGTACACAGGTTTAGCAACACAGAAATTTTCAAAGTTCTATCGATAAGGACTAGATTTTTGGAAAGCTATGTCATTAGGAATATAGACACTCTTTATGGAAACAGCATTATAAACTTTTAATTAAAAAGTCTACCAGTGTAATATATAGTATTATGTCTACACATGAGTCCTTCCCATTTATTATCACTCATTGATTTCTATTTTAAAAAATCCTGACTCACCCATCAGGTCTCAAATTATTCTAGTACGATAAAAATTTGCTATTCTGTAGTAAATGCATTTTGTGCAATCCTTTGTATAATTTACATAAGTAGCATTCTGTGTAAGTAATAGTATCAGATAGCTACAAGAGGCATTTTCTTTTTATTGTTTTTTTTTAAATATATTTTATTGATTTGTTACAGAGAGGAGGAGAGAAGGATAGAGAGCTAGAAATGTCAATGAG